CAATCGCTTTTTTTTTTTTTTTCAAAGAAAACATTTGTCGACCGATCGATCCCCCGTCCACTCGACCGCAATAGTCTCGAGCAACCACTCCAGGAGTCGTTTTGAGAAAATCTCGTTTTTGAATTGATGAAAAATGAAAATCGTGAGGGGCATTATTGGGATAACACACCGCACGGGTCGGCCAGAGAATGGGGAGGCACTTGAGGATTTTGTGAATGGATTCCCGGGAATTTTGAAAGGATTTATGATTTTTTTTTCTCGTAATTAAGAGTTTAATTTGGGAAAATTGTTATTGGTGGGATGGGGAAAATTCGATATTTAATGATTGAGTGATGCGATTTGGGTCAAGTCTGATTTTCAGGGGTGAAAGAATACCTTGAGAATGGCTAGTGACTCGCAGGAATTCACCCTGCCGATCGCGAGATATTAACGATTGAAGAATATCTGTTTAATAGATCATTTTCTTTACTCCTCTATATCTCCGGACCAAATGATGCGATTCGGTTGACTCAAGTCGCATTCCAAAGGTGAAAAAAATACCTTGAGATTGGCGCATGACCCTTGAAAATTCACTCTACCAATCGCGAGTAATCGAAAATGAAAAATGAGAAGTGAAAAATCCTCTTTTCTCAATTATGCAAAAAGCGATGTATTCGATCATGATAAACCGTAAAAATTACTTTGACCTCCAAAACCACTTACGTACCCCCCCAGATCAGCTATCGAAAGTCGCATTTAACCGGATCCCCATCCCCGTGCAGATACGGAATCCGATAGAAATCAGTGGATGAGTGAAAAAACGGAGAATCTCGTCCCCTTAAGTACAGTCTCCGTCCTCTTTTTCACTTGTAACGTCACAAAGTGGACTCCAGTTTGAGCCGTCTAATTGTCGGGGACGATCTCTCGGATTTAATGCCGCTGATGCCACCCCTCGTCCTTTGTCTCAACGAGATATTACCTAACCCCCAGGTATAAGTATTACGTTATCTCGACTGCCTTTCGTTTTTTTAAATTCCCCGCGTCACTCCGACCCCTCGGGACCGGGAAAATACCTGGATATCGGGGGAGATTTATCATAACTATTTTTGTAGCTCATGTCTCAATTTGAGACACTCAAAATGGCCTAAAAAATTTTGGGACACGAATGTCGCCTGAATTTCAAACAAGTTTTTCTGCACAAGCTTTATTTCAGTTTATTTATTTGTTTATTTTTCTCATTTTGTTATTTTATTTTTTATCTATTTGTATTTTGTTTTATTTGTATTTTTTAAATTTATTTTTTGTTCATTTTTTGTTTTCTGATCAGAAAAACGCTTTTTTTGAGGCTTACGGTTTCAAATTGAGCCTTTCGAAAGTCTCAAAACATGTAGACAATCTTAAGAAAATACATTTTTCATAAGATTGTCCCCATGTTCTTCATTCATAATGTTTATAATAGTCCCCAGCTATTAAAAACAATTCTAACCAGCTGTACTGCATAATTTCTGCGATATTCAACTCATAAAATAGAAATTTCATGAAAGCATTCCTTATTTGATTCAAAAAATTAATTATTCGAAAATAATTAGGTTTCAAAATAAGACTTTAAAAATTTTACCTTTAAAATTTTTTTATTTTCAATTTTTTTTTTAATTTTAATTTTTTTTTTTTTTTAATTTTCTTAATTTTTTTTTTAATTTTAAATTTTCAAGACCTTTAAAATATTGAAATGCGTTATAATTTTTTTGGGTGCACTACCTTCTTAAAACACGAATTCCTCCTAATTTTTTTCACAATAAAAATTAAAAAACAAATCAACATTCTTTCCTGCATTAAAAAAAAAATCCGCCTCTCCCTCAATTCTTTCACTAATCATTTCCCTTATTTCATTTCCTTCCATTCAATTGAAAAAAAAAATCATGAGTAAGAGTTTTAACCACAGTATTCCGGCAACAGCAGATTCGAGAATTGATATGGAGAGAGACCGAGCGAATAAAGATTGAAAGAGAAAATTTCATTCGTCAAAACGTATAATTTGCTGACGAATTGAGAGTGGAAATCGATTTTCAGTTTTTTGTCCAGTGGCCACTGTTTCGTTACATCTCGTATATCTTTTGTGGGGTTTTCTGTGGGCGGATACCCTCACTTCCATCCCACCCCCCTGCCCCCACCCCCCTGAGGGCAAAAACGCCAACTGGAATATAACGATACGTTGTATATAAACGAGAAAATTGTTGTGTACCGAGAGCGTGGGTGCATACGAGTAGAGGGCCAATTGAGAAAAGTGAATGGCTTTTTTTAGTCTCCCTTTTGTGGAAGGGAGAGCTAATTTGGTTTTTCGGTTTATTTCCAATGGTTTCTCCCGCAATATTGGGTAAGAGGAAATAGGGACAAAAACGGGGAATTGAGGAAAGGGAAAACTATAGGAATTGGTTTTATTTATGTTGAGGCGAATCTGATGGGACTACCGGATGCTGTTTCCGGATCCGCGATTTCCCATTTTATGAAAGAGCGGGGAACAATTGTGGACAATTGTATCAATCAATTGTTTAATGATGGAAGTGGCATTTCTCGATGAATTGTGCCCAACTTATATTTGAATTTTATTGAATAGAAAATTCAGGAGTGAATTTTCGTGATCTCTGTTGATTTCCCTGCAGAGAAATTAATTTTAGTTCTGTAGAACAATGGAACTGAAATTTCAAGCTCCCATTCACTTCCCCGTGAAATTTGACGATTTAAAAAAATTTAATTTAATTAAATTTTTTAAAATTGCAGTCAAACTATAATGTGATCAAAATTTACAGTTTACGTAGAATTATTTTTTTTAACATTCGTTGTTCATTTTTCTCGAAAAGTGAACTTCCTAATTTTTTTTTCTCATTTTTTAAATGTTTTCTAACGCTTCAATATCGAGATTCATATTCGGACCTACAAAATTTGGGAATTATTATTTTTTAAACATTCAAAGTTTATAAATAAATAATTGAAAGTGTTTAAATTGTGGAAATTTCATTTTTTAGACATAAAATCGATTTTTGGTTAAATTCTGAATACGAATAAATTTATTAAGATTCCGAACAAATGATTTTTATGATGGAAAATAGATTGTTTAAGAATTATTTACAGAATATGCTCGTAATTTTGAAAAATTATAATTTTTAATTATTTCATCATTTTTCCTCCAAAAGTAAACTGTCTTTTTTTTTTTCATATTTTTAAAATCTTCTCTAACTCTTATTCAACATCAAGATGCAAATTGGAATCTGCACAGTTTAAACAATCAAATCATTGTAAATTTTTTACAAAATGCTCGTAATTTCCAAAAATTGCAATTGTCAAATGATTCTATTTTTTCAGATTTTTTAAATATTTTCTAACGCTCCAGTTTCGGGATTCACACTAAAACCCGCAAACTTTAAACAATGAAACCCCCATAAAATATCCGGAAACTCAGGGTCAAACGGTTCTCAAACGAAACCTCCGCAATTCCCCAACAAACAAGAAACTTGTGGAAAAAATCCCCAAGTCCTCGAGTCCCCCTAAACCGTTCCTTCACTACTGATTAGCGCCCCCGAGATCCTCAGCCTCCAAAACTGCACTCGGTATTTCCCTCTCACTCCCCGCAATTACCCGTCACGCCAGGAATCCACCGCAAGTATCACCCACCCCGTCCCTCCCCCGCCCC